GAAAACAAGGCAAGAATGGTAAATTACAAAATAGAATTATGATATAAAAGGGGGAAAAATATATAAAAAAGACTATACAAAACAAACACAAAATGAACAACAAAAGAAAAATGAGGTAGATAAATATTTTTTTCTGACAAATTTCTTACACAATGGATTTTTTGTACTTTCTTGCAATGCGTTTTTGTACCTTCTTGCGATGTGCTTTTGTACTTAATTACAATGTATTTTTGTATTTACAATGAACCTGTAAATATTTTTTTTTTAATTTTGCTAGAAATTACCTTCTTATGATTATCTGTAGATTAAGGGTCTGCCCGAAACGCTATGCGTGCTAGTGGCTTCACAAGAATGTAAAACTTCAAATCTCTGTACTCTCATGAACCCAATGTACTTTCTTGTATATAAATAAATAAATAAATAAATAAATAAATAAATAAATAAATAAATAAATAAATAAATAAATAAATAAATAAATAAATGCGATATGATAAACTATCACAGTTTTTTATTCGATTCTATTAAAATTGAAACCGCATATTTCACTAGTGCAAAACCAGAACAGAAGCAGGTGATGTCTGATATGAAAACAAGTGGAGTAAACACATGTTTTAAACTCATGTTGAAAGCTTCATCTGTTAGTGAATATGTATTGGACAATGTAGACGTTAGAGTTAGGCTGGAACTACAACCAGATAAATGGATTGCTTTCAGCCTCAGATTCTGCTATTGAGTTCAATAGGTTCTTCTCTGCCATTGGGTCATCCCTTGCAAATGATATTCCATCTTCCAGTACTGACATTAAGGACTATCTTACAGGTAACTATCCACAGTCTCTGTACCTAAAGCCTATTAATTCCACTGACGTCAATGAGATAATCCTTTCCCTTAAAACCAAGTCTAGTGCCCTTGAGAAGATACCAACTTTAATTTACAAAAAAGCCTCCAGATCTTTAGCCCCTGCTATTGCATTGCTCTTCAACAAGTCACTTGAACTCCAAACCTTTCCAGATATTCTAAAAAAAGCGAGAGTAACGCCTGTCCACAAATGTGGTGATCTCACTGATGTTAACAACTACAGACCTATATCAATCCTCCCAAACTTGTCAAAAAATTTTGAAAAACTAATCTATAAGCAGCTTTACTCTTATCTAGCCAAACACAATATACTTAGCCCTTGCCAATATGGCTTCAGACCCAAAAAAGCACTAACGATGCACTTATTAGTATGCTTAACTCGATTCATGCAGCTCTTGATAAAAATGAGTTCCCTGTTGGGTTATTTGTGGACCTGCGTAAGGCTTTTGACACTGTCAACCACCAAAACCTTCTTCTTAAATTACACCATTATGGAGTCAGAGGACACTCCCTGCAATACCTCAAATCTTACCTAACTGACAGGCTCCAGTATGTTTCTGTGAATAATTCAATTTCTCCCACCCTACCCATCAACATTGGTGTTCCTCAGGGCAGCATACTTGGCCCTCTCCTCTTTCTCATCTACATTAATGACCTTCCAAATACCTCCCAACACCTCAAACCAATTCTATTTGCTGACGACACAACCTTCATTTACTCCAGTCCTGACCCCCTTGCTCTAAATGCCACAGTAAATACTGAGCTAAATAAAGTCCATCTTTGGCTAACTGCCAACAAACTCACCCTTAACATTGACAAAACTTTCTATATTCTGTTTGGCAATAAATCCTCTAATCAAATAAATCTCAAAATAAACAATACCCAAATTTGTAACAAATTAGATGGCAAATTCCTTGGCATTCTCATTGACCACAAGCTGAATTTCCAGGGCCACATTCTAAATATATCAAAAAAGTTTCAAAAACTGTTGGCATTCTTTCTAAGATCAGATATTATGTACCCCGCCCTGCCCTGGTGGCTCTCTATTACTCCCTCGTCTATCCATATCTCAACTATGGTATTTGTGCTTGGGGTTCTACTACCCAAAATCATTTACGTCCTCTAATTACTCAACACAAAGCTGCTATTAGGACAATATCCAACTCTGGCCCCAGACATCACTCGGTACCCCTACTCAAATCACTGAATATGTTAGACATTAAGTCACTGCACATTCTCTCATGTGTATTATACATATATAAAACGCTAAACTGTAATGCCAATCCTGACCTCAAAAGCTTCATAGAAGGTTGTAACAGAACCCATGAGCACCACACCAGAAATAAATACAGTTTTGATATTCCTAGAGTACGACTTAATCAAACTAGAAATGCTCTACAAATCAAGGGACCCAGATTGTGGAATGACTTCCCAACCATGTTAAAGACTGTACCTCTCTCAACCAGTTTAAGATAAAAGCGAAGCTATACCTAATAAATTCCCTGTAACCTACCTTACCCCTCTAATGTCATCCAATGTCTGGGTTTTTTTAAGAGCGCTGTTTGTCGACAGAATTGTATTTGTGCTGCTTTTTCAGCTATGTTTTCATTCCATGTTTTCATTTTACTCTTTATGCTCAATTAGTGTTAAGCTTTAGTCATTTAAGTTTTTTATGCCCGAAACGCTTTGCGTAATAGTGGCTTTAGGCATTGTATGTACTAGCCCTAACTATAAATCCATCACTCTTTGTAAAATCTCTTTTATGTATGTACCTTACCTAAATAAACATTTTGATTTTGATTTTGATTGTACTTACAATTGTACTTAATACAATGTTAAGTCTGCACGATTGTGGATAGATAGAGTGATACCCTACTCTGAGGGATTAATAGTGATTAATAAGGCTATGATGCAGAACAACTCCCCGATCACGTATACTTTCAATAAAACTTTATATAAAACATACATACTGGGTACTGGTCAGCACTCGATAACTTTGGACCAGCTTTGGGGTACAGAAATACCAAGAACATCTATATATTGTGATTCTTAATATGGAAGCAGTGTCAGGGGCATATAATAATAACCTGATTTATTTGGAAAACTGTGGCTTAAGTAAGGTATTAATATCACAGAATAGCACTAATATCATTAATATTGTATGCGAGTTTCCTTATAACTGTGCCAAATTATATTATACAGCATTACAAGTCTTGGAGTTTGATAATGATAATGTATTGTGTTATGATACATATGTGAATGGTGGAACAATACTAGCCTTTAATTTACAAGCAGAGGACACGACACCACTTGAAAAGACCGGTAATCTGAGGATTGCTTTGGAATTTAAACATGGAGTAGCACGTAATAAGGTCAGGAGTGATCAGCATTAATGCAGAGCGTCAAGTTATTTGTGATACAAGAGGATAAATATTAATATGAATTGTTTGGAAATAAACGAAGTGCTTAGGAGTACTTTAGGTGTGAAGGTGGATTATTTGGGGTGTTTCCTAGCAAATGATGTAAGGAAGATCCTGAAAAAGATACATAGTAGACCCACAGCATTCATGATGAATATACTGGGCCCAGGTTCAGCTATTAAAATGGGGCGTTGGATAATATTCTATGTTCATAATAGAGCTAAAGATCAAACGAAGATAGTTATTCTAGACAGTTATGCTAATCACAGAATCGAATCGTATTCAAGATCCTTTGAAGAGTTTATCTCTTACTTCCATGATTATGAGTTATATATAATAAAGAATAGAATACAGTCTGAACAGTTACTTTTGCGGGAATTGCGCTGTTTATTTTGTCTTTCATCTTTTGCATTTAAACTTCGAAGAAGCCTTGCAAAACTTTGATGAAACATTTAAATATGGGCTATATAGCGAGAATGACGCTAAAGTGATGAGATTTACTTATGTGCGAATGAAAATGCCAGCATGCAATTAAACAAGATCGAAAGCTGGGAGAAATTATACGAAGAAATAACTAACTAACCGGATATAATGATGAGTAATAATATTAATATTTATGCTAATCTGAGATAAAGAGATATAACAGTTATTAGTAATTTTCGTTCTCAACAAACTTATATCTGGATCTTTCGGCTACAGTGGGATTTCTACAACAACAGGAAGCCTACCCAGGTGAACTTGATAATGAGGAGAGAGTTGATCAGGAGGATGAAAATGTTGCATTTAAATTTGGAAGATCTGATCTAACTCTTTATTACTATAAACTTCTTAATTCTAAGTAAGCAGAATGATTATCTGTGTGGAGCGAGTATAAGATTTACTCGTTACAGGTATTTTTATTTTTAATAAATGAATAAAAACTATATATATATATATATATATGTGTATAATTTCTCCTAAGTATAAATCTTATTAAGAACTTGTTGACTCAGGGGGGTAGCGCCCGAGTATTTATCTTGGGGGCGTGGGTATAATTGTTACTGTAGGCGATTGGTGTGAAGGTGCACCTGTAGGTGCGCGCGAGAGCGTCACAAGCACATCCAGTCTTACAGTGAACATGAGCGGTGTTTGTGTGAAGCTCCTCCCTCCGTCAGGAGAAATGTGTTACTTTGTTGATGTGACGTACCCCCTTGATACTTATAAAGGGGAACTCTTTTATCTTGTCTCAATAAACATACTTGAACTTGGGGAACTCTTAGTGTGAGTGTGTGTGTGTGTGTGTGTGTAGAAATTATATTATCTGATCATAGTGAAATGAAGAAATAACATGAAGTCATATGTCACATTTTTTCCTTTCATCTCATCCACCTCCACCCATCTACTGTGAGCAATCCTTTTTTATATTTTCTCTATGCATACTCTATTTTTAATACTTGTGCTATCCCTGCAAAATGTGTTTTCGTCAGTCTAATGTCATGCTATATGGTTTACCATTAGGCCTCAATGCTCAGATTGGAAGGTGTAAGTTTCTTTATGGCAATACACCTGTTCACTCCAGGTAATAATGTAATCAATGTAAAATCACACACTTAAATAAATTTTTGAATCTAAAGCTAGATTATACACAACATTATTATAATGATTACATATTATGCTGTTATTACGGCTTACTCTTATATATCAATGAACTGTTTTTTTTTTTTGTAAATTAAGACAATAATAAATGTACAGCCATTTATGAATAAAGTTTTGGAATGTAAATTGTATGGTAATTATATTCTCATGTGGATTTGCTTACAGTGGCAGTTGAGACCATAACATTACTCCTGTACTGGCAAGGAAGGTGCTATTAGGCTTAATTTCCTGTTGCCAGCATACAGTCACACTGAAGTTGGTACTGGCATGCTTGAGTGTGTGTGGTGTTTGTTGCCAGCATACAGTCACACTGAAGTTGGTACTGGCATGCTTGAGTGTGTGTGGTGTTTGTTGCCAGCATACAGTCACACTGAAGTTGGTACTGGCATGCTTGAGTGTGTGTGGTGTTTGTTGCCAGCATACAGTCACACTGAAGTTGGTACTGGCATGCTTGAGGGTGTATGGTGTTTGTTGCCAGCATACAGTCACACTGAAGTTGGTACTGGTATGCTTGAGTGTGTGTGGTGTTTGTTGCCAGCATACAGTCACACTGAAGTTGGTACTGGCATGCTTGAGTGTGTGTGGTGTTTGGGTACTTATACATGACTCTCATTACAGTTATTTTATTTGAATTAAAGTCTTTAAAACGCTATGATTGTGGCCAAGTCAAATAATTTGAAGCATCAAGAGTAGAACTGTGTTGAGGACGATGATGGCAGTGAGGGCGTCGGTCTGGGGGACGGACTGGTCGCTACAGCCACTTCATAGCTAGGTAGACCATCAGGAGAGGGCCTGAACACACTGGAGGCGTCTGTTGCAGCTTCTTGGTCAGAGGCAGAAAGGAGAGAGGAGTCGGAAGGTGGGAGTTGTGACATTAGAGAGGTGGAGATAATGTCGCTGTGGTGTATTTCCGAGTAAGGTGGAGGCGACTCTCTCATCGCAACATCACGGCTACTGTCGAAGTCAGAGACGGAAGCTGTGAGCTCTGAAACATCAAGTGCTTGCAGGTGGAATGATGCTCTGGCAGCGCCTGTTGGCCTGTCTGTCTGTGGCCTTTGGTTCCCTGAATATATTGTAATTTGAGCGATGGTAGCTGAGCCCTCAGACACTGTCGGGTTTGTGGTCTCCTCCGGGCTGGTGAGTTTCTTTTCTAACACTATCGTGCAGGCTGCCACAAACATCATTATACCAATAATTCCTGTATGGGCAGTAAATATTTAAATTTAAATACTCTGAAATAAATACGTCTAAGTCGAGGCTTTCTTAATTATACATAAATAAAATTTATGGCAAGTGCAGAAACTATGAGAGACAATTTCTTTTAGATTTTTGTTGTTTAGTGTTGACATGTCTTCACCTGGTGTTGTGATCCAGACTTTAGGCCAGGCGTTACAACTGTACAGGTTATTGTCGAGAACTGTGCTGCTCGATGCTCAGGAACGGGGAAGGAAAATTGCCTAAAGGTTCCCACAGCCCGGGACTCGAACCCGGGTTGTTCTCGCTAGTGAGTTGGTCGTGTGAGAGCACTAAACACTACACACATGATGACCAAACCACACATCAGAAGATGAAGAAACGGCAACGTTTCGGTCCGTCCTTGACCGAAAGTGGTGTGTGATTATCAAGTCCACACACGACTTGATAATGGTAATGGACAGAGCGAAACGTCATCGTTTCTTCATCTTCTGGTGTGTGGGTTGGTCATCATCATCACAGCCACGTTACTGTGACTCATCGTCCGCTACACACATGAACCGGACGGACACTATTGTTCAAAATATTAATAACAAAATGGACAGTAGAACTAACCTCCTAAAAATGCAATAAGACCCATATTATTTGTAAAAAATGTAATGAATAATATAGCGAGGAGAAAAATGGCCACCCAAACGATAGACATCCGCGATGCATTCTGTAAAACCAATATCAATTATTAAATCCTAAAGTTGTAATTGCAATGGAGGCAAATAATAATCTGGAGGGACTTTACACATAACTCAGGAGAGTCTAACATCAAATATAGTGGACAAATATTTAGATAAAAACTACAAATTTTGACGCTGATAAAATAATCTTCATTTACTTTGTTTTATAATGTTTATAATAAATATGCGTACTCTGAAACATGAATATTAATATTAATTTTATTATTTCAATTCAAATATAAAGGAGTAGGCACTCAATAGCATTATTATTTTAGCATACAAAGAATTTCAGGGTTAATTTTATGTATGTCTTATAATGAAGAAGAATTTTACATCTTTTATGATACATGGAGACAATTTACAAGCTTGAATTAGAATGGCGAGTACATTAGTCTCTACCAGGTATAAGAGTATGTTGTTCTAGCAAGTTTAGATACGTTAGGGCGAAATGTTGTCTAGTATATTATAAAGCTAAGATGTTACATTTATGGTAATGATTGAATGATGGCAATTTAATATTGTATAGAAGGTTTTGGGTAACAGTGTTTACAGTACAATCAGCTTACCCAGCCGACACCAAGGCACATACATGGTATTGGCGGGCTCTCTCTCTTACGGGGCGTCATGGGAATATGTTATGGCAGGTGGGACTCCGGCAGCTAATTAATTATTAATTTAAACACTTTCGCGGGATGAGGACGCCTCCCGGAGTCCTGTTTCGCCTACCCGCTCCCGCTATGTGGACATAAACTTATGTCCTCTTTTAAAATATTTGTATAAAATTCAATTTTTATCCGATTTACTTTGAGTTTGTTTCAAACTGCGCACCATGAGGCTCTCTTTCTCACCAATAGGCTGCATGGTACAATAAGTTCATGAAAGGTTCACAAACATAACAAAAGTAAAAACATTTCGTGTGTGTTTGACTCTCACTGATATGTTCCAGCGTTGTTTTATATTTGGCGCTATTCTATCTTACGCTTTGTTGATCTTTTTTACCTACGGGCTCATAGAACATTCTATTGCAAACACATTGACACAAAAATGAATGACGTACATAGAATAATAATGTCATGAGAATGAAATAAGTATAAACTTTCAAAGCGCCGTGCGTCGTCCCGTCACCGACACCGGGTAACAATTTCACCACTTCCCACACTCTTGCGGGCGGGCCGCAATCATTATTCTACGCTTATATTCATATCACCGTGTTGGGAATTTCATTGCGAGTCCATTGATACCAAAATTAACGCTGTAGGACAAGTGTGGAGGTGATAACAATCCCAAGAGTAAAATCATTTTGTTGCTGTTGGGTGCTCACGGCGAGTCATCTTCGTAGTTATTTATTTGGTGCTGGTATCCCTATACGTTTCGTGACTTTTTTCACTGATGTTCTTCTAGAGAATTTTATTGCAAATACGTTGGTACCAAAATGAAATACGTAGCTCAAGAACTAAGGTCAGGAGAGTAAAAAGAGTAAACACATTTTTGTTTTTACGCTTATGCGGCAAAACGCCGGGAGCACTTACGGTTGTTTTTTTTACATTGGCCGGAGGCTGAAAGTGTATTAAGTAACCTCTCTTGTTGGAAGTTGAGCCACTAATTCCCTTCTTGTTATAATGGTAATTATGAATAATTATGAGGCTGTAACTCTGTTATTACAACATTCACTTACAATGATAATATTAATGGCTGATGTAACATAGTGACGTCAGTCAGGTCCGCGTCATCGCAAGTATTAAGCAAGTCACAAGATTTACTACACTTAGTCCTCATGAATAAATATGTACGGCGTAGATGAATTCTAATGTTTTACACATTAGTTGAGTTTACATGTTATTTGATTAGTTTTACACATGCGATGATTTGGGATAAAAGCTTCTCTCCCAATTAAATAAATATTAACTCTCGGGTGAATGACGGTGAGGGAGGGAGAGGAGGCGCCATTGAGGACTTGAAATATAAAAGCCTAGTTACAGAAGAAGAAGAAATACTCATCAATGCTTACCAATATAATACGAAGAGCCAAACTCTCCTTTTATGAGAATATATTTAAAGAAGCAAAAGGAAATATGAAAAGTACATGGTAAGCCATGTCTAACATCCTGGGATCTAAACAACAATCATATAACTACCAGTTAAAACTCTCCAAGGATTGTTACACATATCCAACACTTGAAACGGCAACTGAATTTATTAGCTTCTTTTCATCAGTTGGTGTTAACCTTGCCAGATAAATCCCAGAGACCCAGACTGGTGTAACCATCCTCCGAATTGGCAGTATGGTTTAATACTAAGTGTAATAAGTACATTTCCTAACTGTTATACATAGTGCATAATTGCACTACTGAGGCCCTTATTTACCTCTATATTTATTCTCTTCGTTTTCTGTTAAGACACGCAGAATTTTAGAACGAAGTTTTCAAGTTTAATTTGTTATTCACAAGTTTTCAATATCACGAATTTCGTTTTTAGTTTTATTAAACAATAGAGATTTTATACAAAATTTGAAAATGTCCTGAGTTACTTTACAATTTATTGAAATATTTTAGTTTTGTTTTATAAAACTATAATGTCAATATAGCTATAGGTATAAGTACTAATTGTAATTAAGAAGCAATAAAGTGCTTATCTTCACACACTAAGATGGTTAGGTTAGGTCGTGGCTTTCTATTCAGCTTTTCAGGTAAACTCAAATATTCACAATATATTTGACAGTACGGTTTAATACTAAGTGAAAATAAGTAGAATTTCTGACTGCTAGGAATAGTACATAATTACACTTACTTGTGCTGTTACATTTGCCTCCCCGTCTTGGGAGGATGGGCTGCACATGTTACTACATATCTCAACGCCAGCTATCCTAACTCTCTACTTATTTTACCAGTCAGCAAGACAGACATTATATCCATAATTCAATCACTTAAAACTAAAGCTGGGAACATTAATGAAACGCCATCTATGATATATAGGAGTGCTGCCCTTGCTCTTGCACTACCCATAGCTCTGCTATTCAACAAATCTCTAGAGTGTCATACACTTCCAGATTTCCTTAAAAAAGCAAGAGTGACGCCAGTTCATAAAGGAGGCGAGACAGCTGACATAAACAATTACAGACCAACATCAAACCTAACTATACTTTCAAAAATATTTGAATCAATTATTTTCAAACAGCTAAATTCCTGCCTTGTAAAACTAAACATATTAAGTCTCTGCCAGTTTGGATTCCCTTCGCAAAAGAGTACCAATCATGCCATTATTAGTCTGCATAATATAATCTACACAGCCCTGACAAAAATGAGTTCCCAATTGGCCTCTTCATAGACCTGAGAAAGTCTATTAAGACTAAACCATAACTACCTCTTAATTAAACTTCCCCACTATGGTATCCGAGGCCTTGCTCTGAACTATATTCGTTCCTATCTCAGTGACAGACACCAATATGTAGCCATCAATAATGTAATCTCTCCCACTCTACCATTAACAGTAGGAGTGCCACAGATCAGCATCTTAGGACCTCTCCTATTTTCTGTATACATCAATGATTTGCCAAATGTCTCTAACATTCTTAAACCTTCAATATTTGCTGAAGTACTACCTTCATCAATTCTGACCCCAACCCCCACACACTAAATAATATTGTCAATAGTGAATTTAAAAAAGTCCACTCATGGATGTCAACCAACAAACTCACACTAAACATAGAAAAGACCTACTACATTTTATTTGGTAGTAAATCATCAAATCAAATTCAGCTTCAGATAGACAATGTTAACATTAGCAATAACAATGAAGGAAAGTTCCTTAGCCTATACATAGACAAGAAACTGAACTTCAGCACCCACATAGCCAAAAGAGTCTTTAAAACGGTCGGTATACTTTCTAAAATTAGATATTATGTTCCCACTCTGTTCTCCTCTCATTAAACTATGCGCTAATCTATCCCTATCTTACATACGGTATCTGTGCATGGGGTTCAACCACAGCACATAACCTCACGCCCATCATCAATCAGCAAAAATCTGCTATCAGAACTATAACAAATCTGTCTTCAGACAACACACAACCCCTCTGTGTAAGTCCCTTAACATACACTCACTCCACATATTATCATGTGCTATTTACGTGTACAGAACCTTGTTCCTAGACGCTAATCTTGATCTGAAACATTTCCTTGATAGGTGATATAGAACCCATGAGCACCACACCAGAAATATATATGTCTTTGATATCCACAGATTCAAACTAAATCTGTGCAAACACTCTATGCACATAAAAGGACCCAGTCTTTGAAACTCACTCCCTGACGAATTACAAAATTGTCCAACCTCAGCCTTATTCAAAAGTAAACCAAAAAGTACCTAATTTCATCCTCATAGTTTCCTACCTTGTGCTTCAAACTCACACTATATTTTATACTACCTACTTCCCTAATATTAGTATTTAAGACATATATCTTTACCGGTGTAATCTCCTCTGTCAATTTATATTGTATTTTTGTGTTGATATAAAACCTTGCTACAATGTACCTTTTCATCTTGCCTGATTGGTTAGATTAACGACCTGCCCGACCTGCCCGACCTGCCCGACCTGCCCGACCTGCCCGACCTGCCCGACCTGCCCGACCTGCCCGACCTGCCCGACCTGCCCGACCTGCCCGACCTGCCCGACCTGCCCGACCTGCCCGACCTGCCTGTGCGTGTTAGTGTGGCTTTGCGAGAATGTACAAATACCAATCTTATGTAATCTCACAACCCATTGTAACTTCTTGTGAATAAATTTTTATTGTTGTTTTAGGTTCAGTTACTGGGAACAAAATGTTGGTAGTAGCACCGGCTATAGTGAGCCCGTAGTAGACGTACTTGGCACAGGAGCGGGGCTCTCAAGGATGCATAAGTTGCAATTTTGTGTTAAATACATATGTGGAAGGGGTGAGGTTAAGGGTATAAGGAATATGGAGGGCAATCAAACGTATGGTAAAGAATAGGGAAATAAGGGAAAAGGGTCAATCGAACATTGGGTAAGGCGTTGCCTAAAACTTTGCTACTCTCAGTCTACATGTTTTTTAATTGTATGGAATAGGCAGGAACAGTTAGGTAAGTACACATAGTAAATGGGTTACCTACACTTACGCTCATCCACGTTAGCTCTAGGATCTTCTCATCACATCCTCTTTCACCCAAATTCCTGATCATCCGCAGTCTCACCCTCACTCCCTGTCAGCTCCGCCCTCCCTCTCATCGCTTTTGTCCTCCCGATACATCCTTGTGTTCAGCCCGGTACACCCTGGCACATCCTCACCCCACGCTCTCACCTCCTCTCACCCCTCTCTCACTCCCCCCGAAATGAGACTGTTTTCAATTACTCCGTTTAACGCAAATTAGTTACTATACCCATAACATAGATGGAGGAATACGAATAGGCAAAAAAGCACAAATTTTAATGCATAAAGAGCAGTGTTGGAAGATTCAGAATGAATGACTTAGTATGATTTATAAGACATAAGACACAAATATAAGATGGACGATTGATGCATAAAGATGATTTAGTTTGTTGCTTTAAGAGTTTTGTTGGTCGATTTGATACGAAACAGAAAGACTGATGGTAAGTTGACCTAGAAACTTCATAAAGAATTCATAATTAAATTTGTTACTACATAAAAAGTAGTTATATGATACAGAAATAAAAATAGTTTACCTTAATAAAGATGTCTTTGAAGGATGTTTATTACAGAGTAAAGGAAAGAGATTATCTTAGTTATGACACAGAAGGAGATGTCTTAGTAAAAGGTTATGTTAATAATAGTAATATGTGTACTGGTACACATAAGTAATCTGGAAATCTCAGGAAATGAAGGAGAGGTCTGTAGAATGGTTGGAATTTGTTTGGAATGAGCGGACGGGTAAGTGCACACAGAGGTCTGGGTCACCTGCAGTCAGGCTCATCCACACTCATCTGTGCTCGGCTTCTCTCATCACACTCATCTCACTCTGCTCTCACCACCACACGCTCACCCACTCTCACTGTGTTGTCACGCTCACCCCTGCTCATCCACACACTCACTCTGATCTCGCACTCATCATGCTCATCCACACTCTCATCTCTGAAATATTTTGGATAATGAGTAGGATAGTAACAATTAATAATGAGGAGAAAACGCACTGGAATAATTTGAACATGGTACAAAAAGAGAAGTACTACATCCAAAATACGATGGTATAAATTGGAAAAACTGCTGTCATAAAGCTAAGTTCTTTAGTATGTCCAAAATATGAAGAATTATAATACAAGTAAGCCGGTACAACTAGGTGTCTACACGTGCAGCTTACAAATAGCTCAATACATCTAAGTGGCACTCATGGGGCCATCGTAGGGGCCTCGTAGCCTGGTGGATAGCGCGCAGGACTCGTAATTCTGTGGCGCGGGTTCGATTCCCGCACGAGGCAGAAACAAATGGGCAAAGTTTCTTTCATCTTGAATGCCCCTGTTACCTAGCAGTAAATAGGTACCTGGGAGTTAGTCAGCTGACACGGGCTGCTTCCTGGGGGTGGAGGCCTGGTCGAGGACCGGGCCGCGGGGACACTAAAGCCCCGAAATCATCTCAAGATAACCTCATCCACCCGACAGAAACCATCCCTCATCCATTCCAAGAGTTAGAATTTGAGACGTGATCAGAGACCAGGCCACAATAGACATTGATCCTCAAACCATTGAGACCCATGGCCCTATGACTATGACCTAACTTGGCTGCTAAAACATCTAAAGTTTCCCCAAGAAGTACAATTCATCTAAAGGTTTTCCCAATACATATAACTACGAATAGGTAAGTACATATAGGTAAGTACACTACAATGACTAGGAACACTTATATACTTATAGGTAGTGGGCTCTACTACATACAAAATGTGACAGTTTAGAAGTAATAATAGAAAACTACTAAGAGTGGGGCCCAAGAGGAAGTCTTTAAACATGCACGCCTGCCCAAGTACACAATTAGGCGAGCACCCATAATTGTTCACCTATAATATGGTGACCATGGATGACAGACTGTGATGGTGGAGAGTTCCAAGGATGCTAAGTGGTGACCATGGATGACAGACTGTAATGGTGGAGAGTTCCAAGACTGCTAAGTGGTGACCATGGATGACAGACTGTGATGGTGGAGAGTTCCAAGACTGCTAAGTGGTGACCATGGATGACAGACTGTAATGGTGGAGAGTTCCAAGACTGCTAAGTGGTGACCATGGATGACAGACTGTAATGGTGGAGAGTTCCAAGACTGCTAAGTGGTGACCATGGATGACAGACTGTGATGGTGGAGAGTTCCAAGGATGCTAAGTGGTGACCATGGATGACAGACCGTGATGGTGGAGAGTTCCAAGGATGCTAAGTGGTGACCATGGATGACAGACTGTGATGGTGGAGAGTTCCAAGGATGCTAAGTGGTGACCATGGATGACAGACTGTGATGGTGGAGAGTTCCAAGGATGCTAAGTGGTGACCATGGATGACAGACTGTGATGGTGGAGAGTTCCAAGGATGCTAAGTGGTGACCATGGATGACAGACTGTGATGGTGGAGAGTTCCCATGACACTATTTGCTCACCTGCTCCCATAATAGAAGATATTTAGAATAATGGTATAACAGATAAACAACAGCAAGAGCACTCAACCCCTCCCATAAATCTCTACCATAAATCCACCATGAGCTAATAGACAGGCAAGGAACACGGCCAGGCTAATAGACAGACAAGGAACACGGCCAGACTAATAGACAGACAAGGAACACGGCCAGACTAATAGACAGACAAGGAACACGGCCAGACTAATAGACAGGCAAGGAACACGGCCAGGCTAATAGACAGACAAGGAACACGGCCAGACTAATAGACAGACAAGGAACACGGCCAGACTAATAGACAGACAAGGAACACGGCCAGACTAATAGACAGGCAAGGAACACGGCCAGGCTAATAGACAGACAAGGAACACGGCCAGACTAATAGACAGACAAGGAACACGGCCAGACTAATAGACAGACAAGGAACACGGCCAGACTAATAGACAGGCAAGGAACACGGCCAGGCTAATAGACAGACAAGGAACACGGCCAAACTAATAGACAGACAAGGAACACGGCCAGACTAATAGACAGACAAGGAACACGGCCAGACTAATAGACAGACAAGGAACACGGCCAGACTAATAGACAGACAAGGAACACGGCCAGACTAATAGACAGACAAGGAACACGGCCAGACTAATAGACAGACAAGGAACACGGCCAGACTAATAGACAGACAAGGAACACGGCCAGGCTAATAGACAGACAAGGAACACGGCCAGGCTAATAGACAGACAAGGAACACGGCCAGGCTAATAGACAGACAAGGAACACGGCCAGGCTAATAGACAGGCAAGGAACACGGCCAGGCTAATAGACAGGCAAGGAACACGGCCAGGCTAATAGACAGGCAAGGAACACGGCCAGACTTTTAGACAGGCAAGGAACACGGCCAGACTTTTAGACAGGCAAGGAACACGGCCAGGCTAATAGACAGGCAAGGAACACGGCCAGGCTAATAGACAGACAAGGAACACGGCCAGGCTTTTAGACAGGCAAGGAACACGGCCAGACTTTTAGACAGGCAAGGAACACGGCCAGACTTTTAGACAGGCAAGGAACACGGCCAGACTTTTAGACAGGTAAGGAACACGGCCAGGCTTTTAGACAGGCAAGGAACACGGCCAGACTTTTAGACAGGCAAGGAACACGGCCAGGCTTTTAGACAGGCAAGGAACACGGCCAGGCTTTTAGACAGGCAAGGAACACGGCCAGACTTTTAGACAGGCAAGGAACACGGCCAGGCTTTTAGACAGGCAAGGAACACGGCCAGGCTTTTAGACAGGCAAGGAACACGGCCAGACTGTTAGGCATGCAAGGAACGCGGCCAGGTTATTAGTCAAGCAAGGAACATGGACAAGGGAACACAGCGGTTAAACGAGATACTCAAACCACAAAGATATAAATTCAATCTTTGTAAGTGAAATACAGATATAGAATAAACGGAAGAGAAGAAATGAAGCAGAGTACGTAAACAGATTCAAATGTAAATATGACACAAGAGTCCGCAGTTAGGAAACCTATACATCGGTCTGTTGAAGGTTGAGTAGTCTAGCCAACTTCTAAAGGTTGAGTTAAGTCGGAATACGTGTAAGATCTTACGTTTGATTGGTTAGTGGCCATGGTAGCCTGGCAAGGGACAACAACCCCTTCTTTCCTCGCTTGTTCCTGAAAGATGCTTCCTTCCTCTGTTGCTGGTGTATCTACTTCTCCCTCGCTTGCTGGTGTAGGTTATCACCTCCCTCACTTCCTGCAATAGGCTACCACCTCTGGACGAGCTCCTTCAACACACCATCAGTGTCTTCACTACGAAGTTTTCCAGAAAAAAACGTTCTAATGCTGCTTCATAATGTAAGACAGCGACTATATGTGGTTCAGTATACCTGAGTCGAGAGATATATGAGTTGCCTTTATCAGTACTTATCTAATGCAGTGGCAACAGTCAGGCAAAGATACCAGGTGGTTCAAATGATAAGGAATATTCTAACAAATTCGACTTGATAAATGAGTTATGATCATTTATTAAACTATATAAAGTATCATGTCTATCTCGTTGTGTCTGTCTGTCTGACTGTCCAAGGGTGGAAGCCAGTCGCTTGGGGCTAATCTCACGGAACTGTGCGTGAAAATTGGTGATTGTATGATATGGCAATTGTCACAAGGTTGTTGGGGTCCCCCCACCCACCCCCCTCCATGATATCTTTCACGTATTTTATATATTTATGTATACAAGAGTTTTACATACTTGTAAGGCCACAAGCACGCATAGCGTTTCGGGCAGGTCCTTAATCCAATTTTTTCCCCCTGAATACGACCCGCCAAATCGTTTAACAACCAGGTGCTCATTCACTGCTGGGTGAATAAAGTCTACAGTTAAGGATTGGCACCCAGTCAATCCTCCCCGGCCAGGATACGAACCCCAGGCCAAAGCCGTATGATTGGCTCCTATTGCGACATCCTCCCACTGGACGCAGTATCCAGAAGCAATGCCAAATAAACTTTTCAACATTGAATTAACGTTGATTCTGCATCAGGCTACCCCACACTCTGCTATAGTGGGCTTGCTTTGATGTTGTAAAGTAGGGAGCCTGTCGGCCGAGCGGACAGCACGCTGGACTTGTGATCCTGTGGTCCTGGGTTCGATCCCAGGCGCCGGCGAGAAACAATGGGCAGAGTTTCTTTCACCCAATGCCCCTGTTACCTAGCAGTAAAATAGGTACCTGGGTGTTAGTCAGCTGTCACGGGCTGCTTCCTGGGGGTGGAGGCCTGGTCGAGGACCGGGCCGCGGGGACACTAAAGCCCCGAAATCATCTCAAGATAACCTCAAGATAGGTATAGACTGGACAACAACTCCACTGGAGCCTGGAAATGTGGGTTTGTTTGTTCATAGAGTTTTGTAAAACACTTTTCAGCCGTTATTGACATTGAATCAACGATTACATTTATCCAACGTCGATAACGTTGATTCAACATTAATCGAACATGTTTTGCCTACGTGAAGAGAGAACAGCAGGGAAGGAGAGAGAATGAAAGGGAGAGAGAACAGAAGAGAGGGATGTAAACACATAGAACACATACTCACCACACCAGACATAAATATATCTTTGATATTCCCAGAGTCAAATTTAATCAGTGTAAACACTCTATGCAAATAAAGGGACCTTAGTCTATAGAACTCACTCCCTAATGAATTTAAAAGCTGTCTAACTTTTGCCTTATTAAAAAATAAAACCAAAAAGTACCTAATTTCATCTTCAGAGTTCTCTACCTAGTGCTTTAACTCGCATTGTACCTAGTGCTACCCAATCCCCACAATATTTGTACCTAAGCCATATTACTTTACCATTGTAATCTTAGATATCATCTGATATCATGGCTGTTGTATTGAGTACATATTCTACTGCATTATTCCTTGAAATGATCCTCATAATGTGCTTCAGTGAACCAATGTATAACCCTGAAATGTTATCTTAATGTACCTAGTAATATTTGTTCATTATTGTGTATTGTTATTATTGTGTATTATTCAAATCTGCTTTTGTGTCAAAATCTCTTGAATGTACATGTAAAAAATTGACAATTTTACTGTAATTGTTCTACTTAAAATTATCTGTACCTGTAAAATAAAGTTGTAATGTACCTTTAGAAAAATTTTGTCAATTTTACTGTGAATTATATTATCTGTTCGTTTAAGGACTTGCCCGAAACGCCATGCGTGCCAGTGGCTTTACAAGAATGTAAAATCAACTGAATTTCTATGTTCTCTGTTAACCCCCAATGTACCTTCTTGTATATAAAGAAAGAAAGAAAGAAAGAAAGAAAGAAAGAAAGAAAGAAAGAAAGAAAGAAAGAAAGAAAGAAAGAAAGAAAGAAAGAAAACAGGAGGAAGAATGGGAAAATTGGAGGAAAGGAGAATGGGACGGTGGGTGGGAAAATGGGAGGGATGGAGAATCGGAAGAGGAAAATTGGAAGGGAGAGAGGGCAGGAGAATATGAAGGGAGGGAGAATGGGAGGGAGGTGAGAGACAAAGAGACGAGGCACGGGCACCACCGCACCACCGGGTACCCAGTCTATCTACACAAGAAAAAGCCTGTTTGTTTGTTCAAGGCTCGAAACCAGACTCTTAGGGCTGATACCAATCTTCGCATGGTGATTGGTGATTTCTGGAGTCTCAAAGAATAGTCAGAGTCGGCCCCTTTGCCCCCCCTTCAAAGGGAATAGCCCTATACATTCCTTCACAAAGTCGGCATTTATGAAATATGTAACCAGAAGTTAACGAAATTCAGCATTCGTTTAAATAATAATGTATTCATTAATACATGCCAAACGATTGTTGACAGATTTGCATTGTGCGCACCTCTAACTTTTGATTACAGTGATATAGTGTGTATTGAAAACTGTCTCAGTGATACCGGTATATGGAAAGAGTGAGTGTATGTGGTTGGCAAAGGCTACATGTATATTTATTTATTTATATACAAGAGTTCTTACATTCTTGTTCAGCCACTAGCACGCATAGCGTTTCAGGCATAGCGCTGAACGTGCAGCCACTAGCACGTTCAGCGTTTCATTAGAGGTCCTTAATCCTAATTTTCCCTGGAATACGACCCGCCAAATTGTTTAACAACCAGGTGATTCCGGGTTCGACCGTTAGAGGGGTCGCACGTGTCAGCTGTGCTCTGTTGTTTCTGCCTGACCAGAGTGGTGAGTGGTCGTTTGGTGGTGACAATTATGGAGGCCCTGCGCCTGTGTGATGGGGGGTGCCCTTATTCCTTGTGAAGCGGTTGTTGATGGCTGGCCTCAAATTCTCCGGCATTGTGGACTACCCTGCTGTGAACGTGGCAATGTTTGATATTTTGCGAGTTGCCGTGGCCTTTGTCATTTTGGACAGATTGGATGTGTGTTGAACGTCCGTATGAACGTGATTTCGTCTGGCCGACAGAAGGGTGTACCTAATGGAACACGAACGTTGACCATGAGACTTACGGCTACCATCCCATCCTCGGTCCTGCTGATGAGGGTTTACATCCGTGTATTCTATGCTGGTCAGTCACGTACTTGCCTCCTGTGCGGATTATCGGGGCACCAGGCTGCAGGGTGCCGCTCTGTCATTGTGGAACGAGTAAATCTCTTCAGGGAGGAGGACTCCCCCGTCTGAGGGACCCAGTGGATTCTGTCTGTGATGATATGGCCGTAGGAGCTCTGCCTGGGCGGCGTGCAGCTGGGAATCTCTGGTCCCACCTCTCAACTGTCAATCAACTGGTGTACAGATTCTTGAGCCTACTGGGCTCTTTCAAATCTACATTTGAAACTGTTTATGGAGTCTGCCTCCACCTCATCACTTCCTAAAGCATTCCATTTGTTAACTACTCTGACACTGAAAAACTCCTTTCTAATGTCTCTGTGGCTCATTTAGGTACTAAATTTCCACCTGTGTCCCCTTGTTCGTGATCCACCCATGCTAAAGAGTTTGCCTTTGTCCACCCTGCCAATTCCCGTGTTGTGGACCTGTGGTGGCGGCTGTGCCGGAGTTGTCTGCAGGTTCTACGGACACCCCCTAGTGGCGTTGCCGGTGTCGAGGTGGAGCGTGTGGTCCCTCCCCTCCCCTCCCGCCCCGCCTTCTCCCTCCTCAGGCTGCCGTGGCCGTGGAGTTGGGTTCTCTGGAGGTGCCGGGGCCTGCCCAGTAAACACAAAACGTTTTCTGACGTTAGTATTTGGTCTCAAAAAGATGACATAATAACTATTTATATAACACGTCTTTTTAACGTATAAAATACGTTAATTTTAGTCAATTAAATGTGTTAATTTTAAATGTATAAAATACGTTAATTTTAGTCAATTAAATGTGTGTGTGTGTGTGTGTGTGTGTGTGTTTGCCCAATGCCCACTGATCAATCAAATCAAATGTTTATTTAGGTAAGGTACATACATACAAGAGATTTTACAAAGGGTGATGGACTTATAGATAGGGCTAATACATACAATGCCTAAAGCCACTATTACGCAAAGCGTTTCGGGCATGAAAAACTTAAATGACTAAAGCTTAATACTAATTGAGCATAAAGAATAAAATGAGTTGAGAACAAATAAAAAAAAAAGATAAAAAGGGGGGAACATGGCTGAAAAAGCAGCACAATTACAATTCTGACGACAAACAGCGCCATTTAAAAAAAAACAGACATTGGTTGACTATAGAGGTGTAAGGTAGGTTACAGGGAATTTATTAGGTAGTGCTTCGTTTTTATCTTAAACTGGTTGAGAGAGGTACAGTCTTTAACATGGAAGGTCATTCCACATTCTGGGTCCCTTGATTTGAAGAGCATTTCTAGTTTGTTTAAGTCGTACTCTAGGAATATCAAAACTGTATTTATTTCTGGTGTGGTGCTCATGGGTTCTGTTACAACCTTCTGTGAAGCTTTTGAGGTCAGGATTGGCATTACAGTTCAGCGTTTTATATATGTATAATACACATGAGAGAATGTGCAGTGACTTAATGTCTAACATATTCAGAGATTTGAGTAGGGGTACCGAGTGATGTCTGGGGCCAGAGTTGGATATTGTCCTAATAGCAGCTTTGTGTTGAGTAATTAGAGGACGTAAATGATTTTGGGTAGTAGAACCCCAAGCACAAATACCATAGTTGATAGGTGGGCATTGTTGAGTGTACTCACCTATTTGTATCTGCAGGATCGAGCATTGACTCTTGGATCCCGCCTTTCGATCCATCGGTTGTTTACAGCAATGACTCCAGTCCTATTTCCCTATCATACCTAGTTTTAAAATTATGAATAGAATTTGCTTCCACAACCTGCTCCTTAAGTGCATTCCATTTTTCCACTACTCTCACACTAAAAGAAAACTTCCTAACATCTCTGTGACTCATCTAAGTTTCCAGCTTCCATCCATGTCCCCTCATTCT